TTCATTCTTTCTTTCTTTCTCTCCTTTTTTTCGTTTTCGTCCCTTTCTTTATTCATTTTCCTCCATTTAATTCTTTCTTTTTCTCTTTTTTCTTTCTTTCTTTCATTCTTTCTTTCTTTCTCTCCTTTTTTTCGTTTTCGTTTTTTCTTTCAAATTCTTTTTTTTATTTTTTTTTTTTCTTTCTTTCATTCTTTTTTTCTTTCTTTCATTTTTTTTCGTTTTCGTCCCTTTCTTTTTTCATTTTTTTTTTTTTTTTTTTTTTTTTTTATCTTTCTTTTTTTTTTTAATTCTCTTTTTTCGTTTTTTTTTTCATTTTATATTTTTTTGATTTTTTTTTTCTTTTTTGAATTTCTTAGCATTTTTTTTTTTTTGAAATTTTATTTATCCTTTTTTCATTTTATCCTTTCTTTTTTCATTTTTTCCATTTAATTCATTCTTTTCTTCAGTTTTTGATTTTTTTTTTTTCATTTTTTCTTTCTTTCTTTCCTACGACTTTTGTTTTTTCATTTTCATCTCTATTTTACTCTTTTTCGTTCTTTCTTTTATTTTTTTTTTCATTTTCTTTTATTTTTTTTTTTTTTTTTTTTTTTTTTCTTCCTTTTTTTTTCATTTCTTCCTTTATTTATTTCTTTTTCTTTTTTTCTTTCTTATTTCTTTTCTTTCTTTCTTTCATTTTAAAGATTTTTTTTTTTCCTTTCGTTTTCATTTCCATTTAATTCTTTCTTTTTCTCCTTTTTCTTTCTTTCTTTCATTCTTTCTTTCTTTCTCTCCTTTTTTTTTTTTCGTTTTTAATTTAATTTTTTCTTTCTTTTTCTTTCATTCTTTTTTTCTTTCTCTCCCTTTTTTTTTTTTTTCTTTTTTATTCCTTTTTCCTCCATTTTTCTTTCTTTTTCTTTTTTTCTTTTCTTTTTTCATTTACTTTTTATCTCCTTTTTTCATTTTTCGTTATTTTTCTTTATTCATTTTCTCCATTTTTTTTTTTTTTTCTTCTTTTTTTTTTCTTTTTCTTTCTTTCTCCTTTTTTCGTTTTTCCTTTATTCTTAATTTTTCTTCCATTTCTTCTTTCCTTTTTCTTTTTTTCTTTCTTTCTTTTTATTTCTTTTTTTTTTTATGTTTTTTCTAAAAAAATTCATTTTCTCCATTTTTTTCTTTCATTTTTTTTTTTTTTTTTCTTTCTTTATTTCTTTTTTCTTTTTTATTTTTTCGTATTGTTTTATTTATTCCATTTAATTTGATTTCTTCTTTTTTTTTTGATTCTTTTTTTTTTTCATTCTTTTTTTTTTTTTTTTTCTTTTTTTTTTCATTTTCCTCAATTTTTTTCATTTTTCTTTTTTTTTTTTTTTTTTATTCTTTTTTTTTTCTTTTTTTTAATCATTTTCATCTTTTTTTTATTTTTTTCCTCCATTTTCTTTTTTTTTTTTTTTTTTTTTCTTTCTTTTTTTTTCTTTTTTTTCTCCTTTTTTTTTTTTTTTCTCATGCCATTTTATTCATTTTTCCATTTAATTCTTTCTTTTTCTCCTTTTTTCTTTCTTTTCATTTCTCCTTTCTTTTCTCTCCTTTTATTTTTCGTTCTTTCTTTATTCATTTTCTGATTTTTTCTTTTTTTGTTTTTTTTCTTTCTTTTTTTTCTTTTTTTTTCTTCCTTTTTTTCTTTTCTTTCTCTTTTATATATATTTTTTTTTTTTTTTTTTTTTTTTTTTTTTCTTTTTTCATTTCTTAATATTTTTTTTATTTTATCCTTTATTTTTATATTTTTTTTCTTTTTTCTTTTTTCCTTTCATAAATTTTAATTTTCTTTTTTTCTTTCTTCTTTATTTTTTCTTTCCTTACTTTTTTTTTTTTAATTTTTTTTTTTCTTTTTTTTAAACATTTCATTCTTTTTTCTTATCTTTTTTTTCACTTTTATTCTTTCTTTCTTTTCTTTCTTTCTTTTGAACATTTCTTTTATTTTTTTCTTTTCCTTATTTCTTGATTCTTTTCTTTCTTTCTTTTTCGTTTTTTTTTTCTTTTTCTTTTTTTTTTATTTAAATTTCTTTTTTTATGAAAGATTTTTTTTCTTTTTTATTTTTATTATTAGATAAAAAATTTTTTTTTTCAGGACATTTTTTAAATTTTCTTTTTTTCTACTTTTGCTTCTTTCTTTAACTTTTTTTTTTTTCTTTCTTTCTTTCTTTCTTTTTTCTTTCTTTTCTTTTTTTATTCTTTTTCTTTCTTTATTTTCTGATTTTTTTCTTTTTTTTATTTTTAATTAAATTTATTCTTCTTTCTTTTTCCACTTTCATTCTTCATTGACATTTCTTTCTGAATTTTTTATTTTAAAACTTTGCTTTCTTTCTTTCTTTCAAATTTTAAACCAAATTTTCTTTTTTCTTTTTTACAATTTTTAAAATAAAGAAAGATTTCTTTTTTTCTTCTTTCTCATTAATGACTTTTTTTTTCCTTTGTTTTTTTTTAATTTTTTCTTTTTCTTCATCATTAAGAATTTTCTTTTTTCTTCTTT